CTGAAACAAATGTTGAGTGAGCTGTCAACATTTTTAAATGGGTGGATTCCACATGAATTTCCAGATTTCCAGCCTCTCTTGAAAAATCCGTAGAGCTGGCACCACCTGCCAAGGCACCGAGGCACAGCACAGGAGCAGTGGGCGAGACTCTCCACTCAGCCCAGAACTGAGGGCATGAGTTTCCAGACCACAACCGCAAGAAACCAGCGATGACCTAGCACAGGGTGGAAACAGACCCGCCCCCAGGCTCATCACACCACAACACTGGGACAAAGACCCTAAAAGCCTGCGGAGACAGAGTGAGAGGAAAGAAAAGACAGAGAGAGAGAGGCAAGAAGAGCGAGAACGTGGAATGAAGCCAGTCCCCTGCGAAGGATCTGGGATTAGAACAGCACCAGCCCCTCCCAATAGCAACCCTAGAACCTAAAAGGCAGAAGAGCTGCACCTTCCAAATTCTGAGGGCGATATTTTATTGCCAACATAGAACTCTATACTCAAACTCATAAAACAAACACAAAAGCAAATGATGGGGGTAGCATAGTCATTTTGAGCCATGGAAGGTCTCCAAAACTATGCCTTCCCAGCACCCTTTCTCAGTGAGCTACAAAAGAATGTGCTCCATCAAAAAGAGGGAGAAAACCAAGAAAGGTGGCGGGGTGGGACCAGCAACAGCAGACGGAGAGAATTCCCCGGAGAAGAGACACGGAGGCCCAGGATGACAGCCAGGCTGCAGGCCACTAGGACCAGAGGAGAGGCTCTGAGAAAAAGCGCCTGCATTATGGGATGGGTTTCAAAGAAATAGGAGGAGCTTTACTCTTCTGGCAGAGAATCTGGGGATAAATGAGTAATACAGACATAGAAAACACACAGATTAAAAAAGAAAAAAGAACAACTATTAACTCCAGGGAAACCAAGTTATTAAAAAGAAACAGTCAGTGGTAAATGACACTTACGCATCCTTACGTTATAAACACTGCCTATTGAAATGGTGCTACTGGGAGGGTGGGAGGAGAAACACGAGCGATAGGGCTGGGGGTGGTGCCACGAGAGAGCTAAATTTTCATCCTCTACAGTAGGAAGAGAATAATGTGCTAACTTTTTTTTTTTTTTGAGACGGGGTTTTGCTCTTGTTGACCAGGCTACAATGCAATGGTGCGATCTCAGCTCACCACAACCCCCACCTCCTGCCACCTCCTGCCACCTCCTGGGTTCAGGTGATTCTCCTGCCTCAGCCTCCCAAGTAGCTGGGATTATAGGCATGTGCCACCATACCCAGCTAATTTTGTATTTTTAGTAGAGATGGGGTTTCTCCATGTTGGTCAGGTTGGTCTTGAACTCCCAACCTCAGGTGATCTGCCTGCCTCAGCTTCCCAAAGTGCTGGGATTATAGGCGTGAGCCACTGCGCCTGGCCACGATGTTTTTTAAATAAGAAAAGAAAGAAACTGTGGTATAACCATGTGGTCTAGAAAGGTGGAGGCGATCAGCAAAGCACAGATGAAAGCACAGAAAGTTTCGGCTCTTGGAGAATGGGAAGGAGTGAGGCAGAAGTTTCCTCTCTCCATTGGAATTAATTGCAGAACTACTGGTATTTGAGGTTTTAAATTTTAGGCTATGTACAGCTTCCATACAGATGAAAACTAAATTAAAACAGAGCACAAGCAAACAGATCTGGCCATTCCAGGCTGCCTGATGGCACCAGGGAGTCAAGACAGAGTGGGAACCACCTGGAGTCGGGGTACAAGCTCCCCGGTTCTTCACGGCTGTCCCACACAGCCACCTCACTCATTCACGTGACCTGCAGGGCCCCTGGCCACATGTGACGTCCCTTTAGGTTCTAAATACACACACACACACACAGATGTAGACACACACATCCAAACACACATCCAAACACACACACACACACACACACACACACACACACACACACCTGCGCATCCCCCAACCCACACGATGGTTCATGCAGACATTTTCCAGCAGGCCCTCAGTGCCAGCTGCTAGAGGCAGCAGTGCATGTCAATGCCAGGCTAATGGGGGTGGAGTGGGTGCCACACTGCCCGGTTAGTGCTCCAGGAGCAAAGCAGCCAACCTAGTCCAGGCAGGCTTCCTGGAGGAAGTGGCACAACTGCAGAGCCTGAAGACTAAGGCAGGTGCGCGTGCACAGAAGGCAAGCTCGGAGGCCTACTTTTGGCAGCTTCCAGGTCCCAGACACGGATGGAGCCCGACTGGGAGCCAGCCACGATGAGCTCCTCAGGGGTGTTGAGGCGGACGCTCTCCACTGGGGACGTGTGGCCCGTCAGGCTCTGTGGAGAGAGGGCAGCAGCTGCAGTACACTGCTGAACAGACCCCCGCAGTTGCCACCCTGAATTCCAGGTCCCCCAGAAACGCTTCAGCGAGAAGTGGCTAAGGCAGGAGAGGGCGCCCCATGGGGCCACAGCAGAGCCCTCCTGCAGGCCCTTTCTGAGCAGCTACTCCTCTCGGCCTCAGCTCTCAGGGCTAAAAGTGGACAAACCCCACTCATTCCCCCACCACCTCCCTCTTCCTCGCTATGCTTCTGACATGGGTGTCACCTGCAGAAATGGCCCTGGGCCTCTCGGAGGGGAGTGACTGGCCAAGATAAAGGGATGCTGTCCCTTCGGCCCTAAGTCAAGCAACCCGCCCCTGCTCTATTCCCCTCTTCACTCTGCCCCACACAAGCCCCTCAGTGAGGAAAGCCACAGCAGAACCAAGGCCTGCCTGGTCCCGGGCACAAATCTTGCCCCTCTGGAACCCCCGGCTCTCCCCGACTGCCCATCCCCACGGAAAGGAGAGGGCTGTGGGGGTTGGAGGAGGGCGGAAGACTTTTCACTGTGGACCCTCTATCTTTTGGATGTTGAGAGGAATAAGTGTATCCCATACTCAAAAATAAACAAAAATAAATCCAAGTGGACGGCCTGCAGGGGGAGAGTGTGCACAGAAACCCCAAGGAGAGAACGACCCCGGCAGCCTGGAGGCACTGTAAGGCCTGGGAGGCTGGTGTGTGTGAGCCAGGGCAGCAGTCGGGGGCGAGACCGGCTGGGGCCTGACAGCTGTACCTGGCATTCAAAGACAAGCCTGCAAGCCAGGCCCCAGACGGTTGGCCCTGTTTCTCTGGGGGTCGTGGCATGTCCTATTTTTGGTCAGTCATTGGTGTTGCTTTTTCAGCTTGTGTATGCTACTACTTTGGCATTTCGGGGGGGTAGAAAACACATTTGAACCCTAAAAACGAAGTAAAACAAAACATTTCAATTCATCTTTACTGACCCCTTGCACCCTTGCTGAGGCTGGGGTGGATCTCAGTTCTACCCCTGGATCTCAGAAAAACAGAGGTGATTAAGTTTCTACTAAGAAATTCATCCTTTGCCATATTCTCTCTCTTTTTTTTTTTTTTTGAGATGAAATCTCGCTCTGTCACCCAGGCTGAAGTGCGGTGGCACAATCTCGGCTCACTGCAACCTCCGTCTCCCGGGTTCAAGCAATTCTCCTGTCTCAGCCTCCTGAGTAGCTGGGACTACAGGTGCCCGCCACCACGCCCGGCTAATTTTTGTGTTTTTAGTAGAGACGGGATTTCACCATGTTGGCCAGACTGGTCTCAAACTCTTGACCTCAGTTGATCCACCCGCCTCGGCCTCCCAAAATGCTGGGATTACAGGTGTGAGCCGCTGTGCCTGTCCTAATTTTCTTTATCTATTTCACCAGGAGTCAAAACAATGATACTTCCCTGGTTGGCAAGGGATGCGGGGTGGGGCATGGAGGAAAGGGCAGGTTCCGATGCTGCTGGTGAGAACGTAAAATGATTTCTGGAGGGCAGTTTGGCAATCTGTTTTGAAAGCTTTAACAAAAGCACACACCCCTGGATTGAATGCAATGATCACGGATCTGCTCAAGGATCTAGGTGGCTGAGGATGTTCACCACAGGGTGGTTTAGCGGAGCCAAAAAAAAGCCGGAAACAACCTCCATGCTGATAACAGGGTGTGGCCAAGATAATTACAGCTCATCCCTACAATGGAACACCATTAAGCCATTCAAAATTATGTTGTAAAAGAATACTTGTTGACACAGGCAAATCCTTACAACATTGTTATTTTTAAAAATCAGGCTGCACAAGAGTGGCAGTGTATTTTGATTTGTGTGTGTGTGCTTGTATGAGTATTTGTGTGTATACATGCGTACATGCATGTACAAGTGTGCATACATGTGCATGTACACGTATACGTATCTGTCTCAGCATCTAGAAGGACTCAGACCAAAACACCAACTGTGGTGGCCTTTGGATAAAAGAACTATATGTAATTCATTTTGTGTTTTCTCCTTTATGTGCTCCTAGTTAGAAAACAGTTTCTAGCATTGAACATAGCTGCATAAATAGTGGGGAGATGCTATTTAAGAACTAGCTCCCTAACCAGCTCCAGCCAGGTCCCCTCAAATCCTTGTTGGGGAATGAAGGCTGGGAATGAATTAAAATAAACGCCCACATCTTGCTGCCAGGCAGGCAGATGGGCAGGTGGGAGGGGAGGGGTATAAGTCTTTTGGCTCAACCACAGGCCCGGGGCTTATTTTAACCTTCTCACGAAGCCTGCCTGGAGTTCTTAATAGTACCACAGGCAGGTGACTCCCTCGCTCCTGAGGGCTGGCCACTGTCCCAACCATGCTGGGCTGTCCTGGGCCTCACTGAGCAGACAGCTGGGGGAAGCACCATGCCCCCTCCACCCCTGGACTGGGCCCCAGCGGATAGGGGGCCCTGGGCTCAAGAGAGCCTGAGAAGCTGCTCACTCTTCAGCCTCCAACCCCTATCCCTGTCCCCTCCCCAGGTCCTTGTCCTGACCCCCTGCTGGCTGTCGGGGCTCACCATGATGCAGTTGGGCTTGTTGATGGACCACAGGTTGACGCGGCAGTCATCCCCGCCTGTAGCCAGCAGCCGCCCGGAGGCTTTGCCCAGCACCAGTGAGGACACATTGCTGGCATGTGCGACGATCTCTTCTACACAGGGAAGGAGAGGGAGAGGCCATCAGGGGGGCCCGATGTGGCTTTGTGAAGGAGGGGTGACCCTGCTCGGCTACCCACTCCAGAACCTGAAACCCAGTGGAAGGCTCTGCCTCCTTCAGCTCCCGCTTTGGTGCCCACCATGAGCTGTAGGACCAGCAGACAGGGCAGGGCATGGGCCTGAGACGGAAATCACTGTTTCTCAACTTTCATCATACCTGTCCTTCCTACCTTTAGACTGCACGATTTTCTTCCTGTTTCTGCACATCACTTGGTAATATTGACTAGTTATACTCAATTTTTAAAATTGACTTGCTATTTTTTATTAGCTTGGTCTTAGGCCATATCCATGAAATTACAAGTTTGATATACTCATGATACTCTTTCTATGATACAAAAAGAAAAACAGTTATTAAAATTTAAAAAAAATTGACCCATGCACTGCCTATGCACCTCTCAGCTGCTGTTTGTGTGGACACGCAAACCCCGCTTTGGAGAACACACTCTAAGAACAACCAAAGTCACCTCTAGACAAGCTGCCCCCAGGTGAGCCTGCACGGGGCTGTGGCTCAGATTCAAAATCATGGATCAGGTTCTGGTCTGAGGTCTGCAATCTGCTATTGCGTGGCCTTGGCTACTAGGTCACCTGTCCTCTGAGGGCCTGGCTCCTCGTCTGGAAAGTGGGGATACCCATGGTGCCTGCTCACACCTGATGCTGAGGACTCCCTAAGAGCGTGTCTGTGTGCTGCTTAGTAGCAGGTGAGGGCTCCGTGACGCTGGGCAGGCTCGGGGCTAGTCACCATGAGACAGTGGGCATGGGGGCCCCGGCGGGCACCGGAGGGTGAGCTTCATGAGGAGGGGGCAGGAGGCAACAGACTGAGCAGCTGGGGTGGGGGTGAGGGCTGACCACACAGAGGAGGAAGCCATGAAGACAGCCCAAGGCCCCTGGCCTGGTCAGTGGAGATGGCAGGTATGAGCCTCGGAAGGCTCCACAGGGAGCAAAGCACAGGCAGGGAACCAAGAGGCAGCCAGAGCCTCGGAGCCCATCCCTGCGCAAGCTCCTTCCGGAAAGAAAGCAGAAAAAAGACAGTTCTCCCTACACAGGCCGGGGGAAAACCCCAAGGTGCTGACGCCCCGAGGCACCTGGGAGGCCAGCGTGGGTGACGCCAAGGAAAAGGGTGTTGCAGCCACGGTGCTCCACAGAGGCCCCTCCTGCACCCCAGCTCCAACTCCACCCTTCCTGGGTGTCTCTGCTGCGGACTTCAGACCACAAGGAGGTTGGCAAACTGGGTCCACGGAAGCTGCTTGCCGGAAAGCCGGGCTCCAAGGGGCCACCAGGAATGCCCAGGGGACAAGTCGCAGGCTCAATCTCACCGATGACACCCTGCCTCCTGGCCCGGCCATGGCAGAGTCGGCACAGGCAGCAGCACCAGCAAGGGCGAGGGTTCCCTGTGGGCCCAAACCTGGGCCAGGGCACCGGGGAGCTTGCCGTGGGGAATCCCAGGGAGCTGGGCCCCACTTTAGTCCCATCTCAACGAGAGCCTTCTGTCCTCTGGACACTGTGGGGACAGAAACCTGGGGAATCCAGCCACAGACATGTGTCTGTTCAAGAGTTTCCGCCCAACCCGGAAAGAGGGCAAAGCACCTTCTCCCTGGCATTCTGTGCCCGAGCCTGGCATTCTCTCCGTGGAGGCACTGCCCACTCCCCCTGGCCTACCTGGAGGGCTCTGTCTATCCCCTGGCCCTCACTCCTCCCAGGGAAAGTGTCTGGCTGAGCCCCACCTCACTGGGCCTCAGGACTGCTGCCCCTGGAGACAGCCATTCATTCATAATATCAGTATTTCCTGGGTGCCCACTCTAGGCCTTGCACAAAATATGCCCCAGTGTGATCAGACGGTGGTGGGGTGGGAGACTGAGCTGGCAAAACCACAGACTTTGGGGTGAGAAGAATTTAGAAGTTGGGCCCTTCTTGAGGATCCCACATCACTCCCCTCTAAGCAGCCTGACCAGGGACTGACTGGAGCCCAAGGAGGGAGGGCAGAGGGGCAGGGACACAGCACAGGCACCTGCAAAGGAGGCACAGGGCACCACCCCAAGAGCTCCTCCTTCATCCTGGCTTGAAGGACAGCGACCAGCAGCCCAGGCCGAATACTTGATTTTCATACAAAAAATGAAAAATAAAAATCCTCAGTGTCTACTGGCAGGCCAAGCTCTGGGAGCACATACAACCTGGGCCCCACATCCAGCCAAAGCTGGGGAACACGGTGCGGCATGGCAAGAAGGGCTGAGGATCCACATCCCAGATGCAAGATACAAAGTACTAGGTTTCAACGACCTCATGTGGGCCACGCACCTCTGATCCTCACCAGACCCTGGAGCCACAAGGAGCCAGAGGTCATGTGGCCCTGGGCTCTTCAGAGTTGATTCCCATGGACACCACCATGCACATGAAATCAGCAGCAGCAGCAGATGCCCAACACGCCTGATCTCATTACCTCCTGCTCGTACACTCTGATGGCTTGGCCTTGCCTTTAAGATAAAGCTATGGCAGCCTCAGTAGGGCTGGGGTCCTGTGGACACGCGCTCCTGTGAACTCACTAGGTCTGTGCGGCCCCACGTTCCTCCTGCTGCTGTGCCACTGCCCATGGCCTCCCTTGAGTCCTTCCAATACGCCGAGCCTCCTGCCTCAGGGCCTTTGCGCTTGCTGTTCATGCAACCTGAAGTATTCCCACCCCACCCCCCACCCTACCCCCGAGTTAACTAATTCAGCTTGCAACTAGAGGAGACACAGAGGGATACGGTTATCCAGTTCCTGCCTGTTGCTCTCCCCAGGCTCTGCGCTCCCACCGTACAGAGACCTTGACTACTTTGTCGCCCATTGGCTCCCCAGTGCCTAGCTCTGGGGAAAAGCCAGCTGTTGAAGGGATGAATATGTAATCCCAATAATGACAAAGTCACTCTGACCAAAGTGTGCCCTCCTTGGGGAACCATAAAAGGGTTCTCCCAGAGCCCTAGAGCTTTGGGGAACAACATGGAAATGGCCCAAACCTCTCACTTTACCAACAAGGAAACAGAGGCCCTGCAAAGAACTTTGCCCGAGTCTTATGGTTAAATTCATGGTTAAAAAGTGCGTAGTCTTGGCCAGGCATGGTGGCTCATGCCTGTCATCCCAGCACTTTGGGAGGCCGAGGCAGGTGGATCACCTGAGGTCAGGAGTTTGAAACCAGCCTGGCCAACATGGTGAAACCCCGTTTCTACTAAAAATACAAAAATTAGCCAGGCATGGTGGCAGGTGCCTGTGATCCCAGCTACTCGGGAGGCTGAGGCACGAGAATCGCATGAACCTGGGAGGCAGAGGTTGCAGTGAGCTGAGACTGCACCACTGTACTCCAGCCTGGGCGACAGTGAGAGTCTGTCTCAACCCAGCTCCTGAAAACCAACCCAGGGACAGCTGGCAGCAGACAGTGACCAGGTGGAGCACACAAAAGCTATGCCAACCAGTTACGATAGAGGTGCCAATGTGTACAGGAATTCTCAAACTCTGATCTGGGCATGCTTGGGATCCTCGAGATCCTTTCGGGGGGTCTGAGAAGACAAAAGGATTTTCACAATAACACTAAGATGGCATCTGCCTTTTGCACTCTCATTTGCTCACAAGCATATGGTGGAGTTTCCCAGAACATCACTAGAGGCCTATTTGATTATATACTCTTGTTTGAAAATGTCTCAGTATTAACTTCTAACATGGTAAATATTGACAGATACATAAATCCAACAAACAAAAGCACTCTGGGGTCCTCAATAATTGTTAAGAGTGTGAAGTCTTTAGATGAAAGAGTCTAGAACCGCTTGTTCAGGGCAGTGTCCATCAGTTACAGTCCGAGCCCTGTCTGCAACCCTCTGCCCATCCCTTCTCGCTCCCACTCCTTCCTCCATCCTGGGCCCAAGATGCTTTTATCTGACTGGGGAAGTTTGACTTGTGAGATGTCTGAGAATGCTGCGAACATCTTTCAGGATTTCTCACCCCACTGTCAGCCTAACTGGAAATGCTGTGCTAAGTGCTTTAGGATGTTCATCTTGTCACTTGAATTTCACAGCAACCATAGAATGCAGGCGTCATCTCATTGTATAGACAAGAAAACTGAGCCTCAGAGAGGTTAAGTCACCTGCCCAGTGTCACCCAGCTAAGAAGTGCCACAGTCATGATTTACATCGTGGTCTATCTTACTCCAAAGTCTAGGAGTCTCCTCCTGTGCCAAGAACAGGAAACAAAGCTGTGGGTTCAGGCCTCCCAGCAACAAGCAGCTAACAGAATAAATGGGGTGATAAAGAAAAATGAAAACCACTCACGCAACTTCCAGGCTGTCTTGGTGACCACAGGGGTGGCCATCCTTCAGCTGGCTGGCCACCTGAAGCCCCACCCACAAAATAAACTGTGCTTTCCTCGTGGGGTGGGGGTGGATCCCCCCCAGATCCACCAATCAAGTTGGCAGAGAGTTCCCACACATCCAGGCAGGGAGAATGCCTCGTCTTCTGGCTGTGGGCTGCCTCGTGGTTCCAAATCACCCACAGCAGCAAAAACAGCAGCCTGTGCACATCTGTCACGATCCTGGATCATGGGATGTTAGGCTTGAACCATCTCAGCTCAGCACCGGGCTGCAATACAAACAGAGGTGATGTCATGTTAGAAAATGCTTGGTAAGAGCTATTGCTACCTGGATCACCAAGGCCACTTGATAAAGACTGGCACCCACCAAAGCCACAAGGGCCAGAAGCAAATTGGGTTTGGGGATCTGCAGAGGGGGCACCTCAGGTAGGGTGATTTGGAACACAAGGAAAAAGAAACTCCTCCCAGAGGCCAGGATAATGAGATGCAGCTCTGTTCCGGGATGCTGGCTGCCTAAAGTGCAGCAGCTGCAGTGGGGCGGAGAAGACCACGTGTCTGCAATTCACATAGATTTCCCGGGAGTGGTTGTTTTTGTCTGACGTGTGGGGTGTGGGGGAGTGGAGTCAGAAGCTAAGCTTATGGGCCTAGGAAAGGCATCCCAGAGATGGCCACTTTAGTCCTCCCTGGAAAGAATCTCGAAGACGACCCTGATGGCCCAACTCCCCAGCTCCTGGCAAGGGAACCGCTCCTGCTCCCTGAGATTCCCAAGGACAGAGCTAGGAACTAGGCCTCTGGTCTGGGCGTGAGTGGCTATGACTCCTCAACTCTGAAAGGCCACCTCATGGAGCCTCCCACCTCCTTCCCACAGCCACTTCACCTCTTTCCCGTGAGCCCGCTCCCCTCCGTCCCCTTTCTCCTGGGTCCCCGGGTCTGCCTCTCTAGTCCTCCGTTCACACCCCCTTTTCTCCCTGCCCCCTGAGTCTCCCACTCATGCACATCCTGCCTCCCGAGCTCCCTCACGTGGCCCCTGCCTCGCCAGACTCCCGTTACTGCCCTTTCCCGTATGTTCCCGGGGTCTCCCATTCATTCATTCTCCCGCTTCTCTTCTCCCTATTCATTACCCGTCCTTCTGCAGACCCCCAGCTCTGCTTCCGGCCTCCCTGGTTTTGCCCCCTCCGGCCTCCACCCCGACCCCTCTGGTCCGGGGGCGGGGGCAGGTACCTCGGCCTCAGCTGATCCTCTCAACCCTCTGCTTGCGGAGTATGGGCTCTAGCCTCCCCACGCCCAGAGCTCTCTGCCCGCAAGCCCGGCCAGCCCCGCCTGGCTCGGCCCAGCCCAGGGCCCACCGTCCCCTCGCCACCTCGTCCCCTTGCCCACTCCACCTGCAGCTGCGGCTCCGGAGACCGAGGCTCTGCTCCAGGCGCGACCCCCACTTGCCTCCATCCCCTGCCCTGATTGGCCGCTGCTTGACAACCGACCCTCACAACAAAACCTCCGGCTCAGAGCCCCGCCCACCTCGCCTCCCGCACCAATCAGCTGCCGCAGGCGCTCCGCCTCCTGCCAGGACTGACCAATGGAAGCAGGCGCTTCTGCCGCTTTTCCTAAGTACCCGCCCTCTTTTCCTAAATCAGGCTAATCAAGAGGAAGGAGCGTTCAAGAGCCGCCCCTTGGCCTCTGATAAACCAATGCAAGCTGCCTTTTCCTTAGTCCCGCCTCCGTCTCAAGTTTCCCTTTCCTCTCCGTTTCCTTCCTCGAACCTAATTTGTGTCTGAAAACTTTTGAGCGCCGCCCTCCAATGGCGGCTGCGCCAATGGCTTGAGCAACCGTCCTGGATTGACCAGTCAGAGCCCGCATTATTGGAAAACCAATTACAAGATAGCCAATGGGAAGGAGATTTCTGGGGCGGTCTGAAGCCGCAGGCCTTCCATTTTGGAGTGGGGCAAAACCTAGAGAGGCCTTAGTCGGGATTTTGCCGAAGCTCCTCATTCTTCCCTTTGCCTGCAGATGGTACCCCGTGGCAGGAGGACTTTGTCCCTGTTCTTTGACCCGGACGCCGGCATGAATCCCCCACGGAAGTTCTAGAAGGAAACAGCCTGATTCCGGAGCCGAGGCAGGCGCTGAGCCCTGGAGCATTGACCACGCAGCCACCACCTCGGCTAATAGATGCGTGGGCAAGGGGCTGCTCCCTGAGGGGCCGCAATCAGGGAATCGGAGAAAGGCCGGCTTTATTTGTGACACGTTGGGCGGGGTGGGCTCAGGGAAGCGCCGTAACCCTTCTCGACTCAGGGCTTCTCGCGTGGCCGCTTAGGAGGGACTCGGCCCCGCAGCCGCCTCTTTCTGTTGCCCAGAGGTTGGCCCGGGCACCCAGAGCTCCTCGAACCTCGCCATTCGGCCTCCAGCCTCCAGCCTCTCACCTCAGATCAGGGCTCCTCGGGTTCACATAACGCTCACTACAACCCTACGGGGTAGGAATTCCTGTTCCCATTTACAGATGAGGAAACTGAGTTCCGGGTTAAGATGCTTGCAAAAAACCACACGGTCAGAAAGTAATAGCCCCAGAATTCGAACCCTTGTTCTGAAAGCCAAAGCGTGGGGGAGTCCCCACTCTGCCTTCTGGGTTCAAACGATTCTCCTGGTTCAGCCTCCCGAGTAACTGGAACCACAGGCGCCCGCCACCATGCCTGGCTAAGGCTAGTTTTTGTATTTTTAGTAGACACGGGGTTTCTCCATGTTGGCCAGGCTGGTCTTGAACTCCTGACCTTAGGTGATACACCCGCCTCAGCCTCCCAAAGTGCTGGGATTACAGGCGTGAGTCACCACAAGGCACCTTTAAACGATTGGAATAACATCGGATCAAAACTGTCTAGTCTGTAGTTCCTCTTAACTTTTGTATTATAAAAAAAACTAAATAGAGAAAACTTGAAAACACAGTATCATGATACCACGTAGATTCCAGCACTTGTTAACAGTTTGCCATATTTGCTTCGTCTGTGTGTCTTTTTCTGAACCATTTGAAAATTGTAGATACGACATTTCACCCCAACACCAAATACTGAGCATGTAGCTCTTAAAAATAAGGCTCTTGGCCAGGCGCGGTTGCTTGAACCTGGGAAGCAGGGGTTGCAGTGAGCTGAGATGGGGCCACTGTACTCCAGCCTGGGCAACAAACTGAGATCCATTTCAAAAAATAAAAATAAAGGCCGGGCGCGGTAGCTCACGCCTGTAGTCCCAGCACTTTGGGAGCCCGAGGTGGGCAAATCACGAGGTCAAGAAATCGAGACCATCTGGCTAACACTGTGAAACCCTGTCTCTACTAAAAATACAAAAAATTAGCCGGGCGTGGTGGCGGGCGCCTGTAGTCCCAGCTACTCGGGAGGCTGA